GGTTTCAATGGCTGCGGCAATTTTCTACAGGCGGTTGAGCTTGCTCTTCACCGGCGAGGAATTGCACCCGGTCAGGTGAGATTCAAGCCGAATCGGGTGGGAAGGTGATTGGGAGATGAGATATAAAACATAAGCCGCCCCTGTTTGTTTTCCAAGAAATGAAGAAAAAGAGAATGCTTTAGGAAATGGGGTTGAGTAGAACTGGGAAAGTGAAAGAGAAAAGATTCTAACTTTCCCCCAAGGTTTTGTCAAAATTTAGTTGAACTCGTCAGCCGAAACATATAAGACTCCTAATAAAAAAGTTCACCAAAGAAGAATACGATTCTGCGTTATGTTTGAACCCGGGTTTTTGCAAAATCCAGTAAGAAAAATCAAGCACAATCTGGGGATTCAAGTTCAATTTATAGAGGGAAGAAACATGAGAAGCGGAAATAATAAAAGGAATGAGCTTCTTCATTGAAGGGTTTTTTGCTAGTTTTTAGGGTTTTTTGAGAGGATTGAGAAGAACTGAGAGTGGAGATTTGGTGGGTCAGGGTCGAGGGGAAGAGCTGAAGAAGAGGTTGAGAAGAGGTTTTTGAAGAGAAACTGACATGGGTTTTTTTTAAGGTGATGATAATGGCGATGTACAACTTGATTGCAGGAATTATGCTTTACTGCAAAGTGTACAACTTCATTGCATATTTATAATTTTGCTTGATTTGTGTTAAAATTTAATATAGAATGTTAGTTGCAGTTCTACCTTGTGGAGCAATCTTCCTAGTTGTGCTCTTCATTATCAATTGCATCTAAAGTAACTGGCAGCTTCTAGCCATCTCAATTCTCCAACGTTTGGCTGGTAAATGGGAACAACAAAATCGCTTTCAGCCTCTTAATGTTTTGACTCTTCTGGATCTTTTAATTTGAAGAATAAGTAATTTGTAGACAAAAATCATTTAGTTTTATAACTATGTTTCTTAATGGAAATGGAAACTGTATTTGAGCCTGTCAAGTACAAAACTGGCTGTTTGGCCGACATTGAATTTGCTTGAATTAGAGTTGTTTTTATTATGTTTATTAAGAAATTTAATAGTTGGGGTATATAAATATTTTCATAATTAAAAAGTGGGTATGAAGATAATTGATTCTATTATATGACATATAATAATAATAAAAATTAATAAATCAAATAGGGATGGTATTTTCAGCTGTGTTTGTTTTATTATTTTGAGTAATATTTTTGAAAAAATTGAGTTGAGTTATTATTACGAGGATAGGATTTGAATTTGAAAATGTGTTTGGTAAGATTATTTTTTAATCTCCTATATTTGTTAATTTAGTTAAACACCCCCTACAATAAAAGTTATAAAATTAACAAAAACACTCTTATCCATCCATTAAATGTCGGCAACCGGCCACCACCATTGGATGGAAGTTGCTGGAATGACACACAACTGGCTGGATGTGGCCGGTTGGGGGTATTTAGTTAAATTAAACCTAGGGGGTTAAAAAAGTCTAAATATTTTGAGTTGAATAGAATGTGATTAGATTTTGAGAATAAGAAAACAAATATGTATTTTGAGTATGATAGGAAAAAATAACAAAACAAACGTAGCTTTGCAACGAATATATATTGTATTTAACAGAATTTACTAATGGAACATAACGATGGAAGGGAAAGTGTCATTTTGAAACTTTTCGGGTGGGAAAATGTCATTAGACCAAACCTTAGGTGGGAAAAAGTCGTTTACCATTAATTTATACATCAAATGGTATCTATGTGATTTTTTTAAATGTATTATGTTATAAATTTAGAATTATTAATTTATCATATTGGTTTCAAGTTGAGATCGGTTAAAAATACTATTTAATTGAGGTTATTAAATTTTCTAATACTAATTTATCTATGACGGACTATTTTATATAAAATACTTTTATCAGTAATACAAGGTTTATACCACCTTCTTACATCACTCTCTCACATCATGACGTGACAGATAACATGACAGTGCCACATCATCTACCACATCAACAAAATGACACATCATTTCCCCCCAAATTAAAAAAAAAAAAAAATCAAAATTTCAATTCCCCCTAAATCTAATCTCTCTCCGAAAACAAAATCAAAACGTCAAACTCTCTTCTTCCCCCCTAAATTAGAAATCTCTCTCAAAATTGCCCCACAATCAGTCTTCCACCACCGTCATGTGCAACTCCTCTTCCTTAAAAAAAAATTTCTCTCCCGAAATCCAATTGAAACCTAGAATGGAACTTGAACTCAGCACCGTCATTTGCGACTCCTCTTCCACCATAGTCATTCGCGACTCCTCTTCCACCAACACAAGCTATCCTTTACAAACCCACACGTTTCGGGCCACCAATCTATCATCTTCCACCACCACCAACCTATCCTTTTCAAAGGTGAATCTTTGAGTTCTTGAATTGGGTTTTTAAGTTGATTTAATTGCTTATTTCTAAAAGTTCCTTTAGGATTTTTGGGATTTTCTAATTGTTCATTTTTATATGTTTGAATGGATAGATTGCAGTTTGAACTGATGGCCTTAATGGTAAGAATACTGATATATAAGTTTCTTTTTCTTATTAATTTCTAATTTTCTGTTTGGATGAAGAGAAAATTAAGAACCCAGAAATGGAAAGTTACGTTTTCACTAAGACAGATAACTTAATTAAAATTTTAAGTTGCTCCCCAATTGGTGTAGATGGTGGGTGGGCAATGGGAGGGTTTGGGGCTTGTTTTTGGTTTGTTGCATGGTGCATTTGGCAGAGATGTTTCTGGAGGAAGGGATCTTGTTTCAGTTTTTTTTTCTCTCCTGGTGCGTGGGTTGACTTTTTGGTTTGGGGTCCTGTGTTGTGGCTGTTGCAGACCCATCTCTTGGGGTTGTGTGTGGTTTTTGTCGCTGGTAAGAGGAACTGGGGGTTGGGGGGTGTTTTTGGTGTTGGGGTGGTTGGCTCGGAGGTTGGCTTTGTGGGAGGAGGTGAGGGCTGCATTGAGGCAGCTGGCGCTGGGGTCTTTGTGCGTCGCTATAGACTCATTTTCTCCCCTACTGCTGCGATTTTTTTTACCAGCAGGGGGCTGTTCTTGCTGCTTTTTTGCTGTTGGCTGTCCATTCTTACTGTTGTGTTATTGCCTGGATGTTGCTGCTGTGGTTTGTACCGTAGGGCTATGGCTAATTCACTTCTCCAGTTGATTTTTTGTTGCTGTTTTATGGGCAGTTTTATGCTCCTACTCCAGGTGTTTGTTGGGGTCTTGTGTTGTGGCTACTGCTATTCTCTTTGCTGTGTAAAGACTTTTTTGGTTTTCCATCCCTAGATGGTTTCTTTTGGCTGTTTAAGGGGTGTGTAAATGGTGTACATTCTGGCTCCCTTACTTTCTTTTGTTAGGCGGCGTCCCTTGCTTGTTTTGGGTTGTCCGCAGAGTATAGGAAGATGGTTGAGAAATTGTACAAGCCTCCAAGCGTATGATTTGAAGGAGTGAATTTTGATTGTTACAAAAAACTTCCTTTTGTTTTCTTGTATTAGGCAGAGAATAAAAAATGTATCTTTGTTAATTGTACTTTAGTTATTCTTTCTTTATTTCAGAAGTGTCGCCTGTCTCTTTGCAGATTAAAAGGACCTTTATCAATGAATTTATTTTTTTATTTGAAAATAAATTGACGCTCTTTTTTCTTTACCTTTTTATATCAATTTTGTTGCTTGATTGAGTGGTTTGAATTTTGAAGCAGAGTTTCTTCCATGTTTTGAAGCATATTTAAAGACAACTTGTTTTGAGCATCATAGAGAAAATTCTGAAACGACTTTAGGCCCTCCTAAATGCATAAAATAAGCTAAATTATGCAAATAATTTTCTGAAATTGTGGTAATACGTATTATATTATGTTTTGTGGTTTGATTTGCAATAAACAAAAGCACTTGGTAACTTGTCATAAATTTATGGAGATTTTTTAACTCAAGATAGTAAGTGATCATTCATAGGAGAGTTAGAGATGATTCAAAACAAGTGTTACAAACTTTAAATGATGCATTCATAATCTCTTATTTCCACCATAATAAGACTTCAATTACTTGTTGGATTTTTTTGTCATGAAACTTAAAATAAAAAGTACTTCCAAGAGAAAAATTCATCCAATAATGAAATAGAACCTCAATGTTGCATTATAAAAACTTGTACACAACAGACATTACAACATATATTATAAAAACGTGTACACAACATACATTACAGCAGCAAGAAAATAAAGTGATGAGCTGGTTGTTTTGATCAGTACCAGTACTCTCCTTCGATGAACCTGCTGTTTTGATCAGAATCAGTATCATTCCATTTTCTTGTTATCCTTTTAATTGTCAAGCAAACTGAAGCAAAAGTCCAAAACACATAATATGCCAATAGATATGATCAACAATAATGCATACAAGACAACAAACAAGGAAGCCTAAGCACACGACTTCAACAAAGCCAGATCTTCAAAAAAACCAGGCAAACAAAACAAGCAGTTACAGCAAGCAAAAACCCAATCCAACAACTAAAAACTTCAGTAGTAGCTCACGAAAAGTGAAGGGAAACAAGCCAAACCAAGTTGCTGCCAGCAGCCATGGGACACATCACCCACTGCAATAGAAAAAAAAGCCAGCTTCCCAACAAGGATTACCCCAACTCTTAGCAGCCCTCAACCCCTCCACTTGCTTGTAGCCTTTCCAACCTAACACCCAAACGAACCGCCTAGCCAACCCAAAATAAGCAACAACCACATCCAAGTAATTTCTTGGACAACCATGATAGAATAAACATTAAATTTAGAAAATTCAAGACACCAAAAAGAAAAGCTAAAAACAATACCACTTAAAGTAAAAGAACAATTAGAAACTCATGCTTAAAGTGACCACCCCCAACCACACCAACTGCATATTGCTAAACCATACTTCATATGTAAATTGAAAGAACAGAGAGAGTGTGATAGAAGTAAAGTGAAGTACCACCAACTGTATATTACAGGACCATACTTCAATCAATAATTTGTATCTGCAAGTGATGGCCTGTAAGTGACAGACAGTTCACTGTAACCCTGGGCAGTGAAAAGACAACAACATTAATATTATAGTCTCAAACACAGTTCAACCTAAAGGATTCATACCTGACTTAATACAAGGACTCCTGCTTCACGTGGGTGGACATTACTCGCATATGCACCAGCTTCAATTGATTCTTTTGATTCTTGGGAACTCCTAGTCTGCAATCAAATTAAATTTATAAGTACATATCATTTATTAACATATTTTAAACGTTATAAAATTAGATGTGACACTCACTTGGTTAAGCAATTTCTTCCCTTTAAATTTACATAAAATCTACTCGACCTTTGATTACTTTCTTTTGAATGGAGGTTGACCTTTCGTACGAACAACTCGTGGAGTCAGAATGTTATTGATGCCCTCTATGGAAGTAGAGTGAACACTATCGCGGTCCTGGAGTCCTTTAGATGACATGTTTAGGTAGCTATCAATCCTGCTAATACCAACATTAGATACTAATTTGTTCTTCATGTCACTAATCATTTGCATGACTATACTACAATCATCGTCATTGCTTGATGCCGAATCTGCCACCTCACAAAATGAATTAGACAACTAATCAAATTGTTGTCCTTCAAGAGTCGTGCTCCAACTATTATAACTTATCCTAACTTTGGTGTGACATCTGTATACATTTTTCCTCCACCGCCTTAAAATGTATTTTTCTGGTATAAGATAAATTTTTTTATGAATCAACACTGCAATTGCATGTCGACATAAAATTCCTCTAAACTCAAACAATTGACAATTGCAACGAACCTCAGAAACACGTTCACCAAAGCAAACTACAAAAGGAACATGACGGTAGCTCTTTCCAACCAATACATCTTCCTTGACTACATATTGGATATTGGAATCAGTTTCCTTGAAAGAATGAATATGACAATAGAGCTTAGCAACAAGCTCTTTTTGAAACTCTTTGAATTTTATAGTAATGTATGCATCTTGAAATTGTTTCTCCATCGGATAAGTGCTTATACAAGGGATCTATGATTTAAACGACTTGAAATCACCTTCATTTTCTTTTTCCACTTTATCATGCAATGCGTTCTCATATTGTTCTACAAATTGTTTTAATGTGGTTTTTGAATTTACATACCCATCAAAAAATGAATACATACTTTCACTACGTTGAGTTGTAGACATACCTGCCCAGAAAATATCTTTTAGAAATGCTGGCACCCACCGATATCTTTCATTATACAAACCAAGTAACTAGTCATTTTCGTGAAGACTATGTTTATCAATGAACCTATTCCAACGTTCTTCAAACTCCTCACGCGTCAATGAATCATACACGACATTTTGCAAAGAAAACTTTATATGTTCATGTTCACAATAACCACTTAACTTTTCTGGCAACTTCTTCATTATATGCCATAAACACCGTCTATGTCGTGTACTGGGAAACACAATCTCGATTGTATTTTGCATTGCCTTGTCCTAATTAGTGATTATAGCCTTAGGAGCAGAATTCCACATACATGCAAGCCAAGATTCAAAAAGTCATACAAAAGTTTGTGTGTCCTCGTGGGAGACCAACCCATAACCTAACAATGTGGAATGGCCATGATGGTCAACACAGACAAACGCAGCAAATGACATATCATACTTGTTAGTCAAACATGTCGTGTCGAATGTGACAAAATCGCTGAATTCCCTAAATGCAGCCCTACTTCTTGCATCCACCCATAGAACATTCTGCAATCGACCATCCTCATCTAAATCCATAATGTAGAAGAAAGTTGGATTATCCTTTTGCATATTTAGAAAATATTTTTGGATTGTAGTAGCATCCCCAGCACCAAGTCGGGTCCTCCTAACCTTTTCAATGTAATTCCTACAATCCTTTTGTAAGAAAGTCAAATTCTCAGCACCACCATCTTCAACTAACAAGGAATTAAAATTTTTATTAGGTCTAATCCCAACCCTATCATTTACTTCAAGCTTCCTTTTCACATACGGCTGTATAATCCGATTGCTCTTGAAAAATCTAGATTTGCTAGAACTACTGAGTTCATGGTTATGCTCATAGATGATCGACACTATTTTCCATTTTCCATCAGAACGTCGAGATGCAGTACAACGAGCCTTACAACCACTTTGTGTTAATGGTACAATTTTACAAACATTTCTGGAGTTACTGTCTCGCTTCCCACCACAAGAACAAGCCACATTTGCATAAATCAACTCCCCATCAACTCCTTTTCTTGAAGATCTTATAGCAACTTCAAAACCCATTTTATTCTCATAGCTCTTATAGTATTGGAAAAACTTATCAAACGATTCATAAAACATTCCAGGTTCAGGTTTGCATTCTTCTTCTAGACTTCTGTTATCTTCCATTTCTTGAAAATCATTATCCTAATATATTGAAATTATAATGGCCTAAAATTAGAATACAATAAAACTTAAAAAAAAAGGTAGAAATAATACTATTAAAGGAATTACAATCATATTAATGAATAAAAAAAAGATTACAAAGACAAACTTACCTCCACCATATTGAATTGAGAGGAGATTCGGTTCTCATGTTTTTCAAGTACACTCCTCCATCTTTAAAGTGGTGGTGGAAGAGGGTGCTGCAAGAGACACCAGATGTGTTAAAACGGTTGTGATTGGTGGTGTGGTGTGCCAATTAAGAAGTATGCACATACAAAAACTTTTAATGTAAACAATAAAACCTATATTAAAGCACGTCAACAACAATTTCAACCAATTGGATTTTGAGCTAAACCAGACACAAAAAAAAAAAAAAAAAAAAAAAAAAAAAAAAAAAAAAAAGGGCTACATTTAAAAACAATAGTGCACTTATTATGAAATTATTTAAGTTTTATTCATTTTGTTGTTATCCTTTAATTGTCATGCAAACTGAACCAAATTCCAAAACATGTAATCTCTAAAAACAACATAATCTTATATTGTCTGACTCAATCTTCCCTTCCTACATATTGCCCATTTTGTTTTTCATATAAGCATAAAATCTCATTTTACAACAAAATAGATGCCCATTCCACAGCCCAACTCTTTTATTTTAAACATGAATGCCAAAATTAAAATTATCTAAGTTAAAGCTACCTTTTATTTAAACTATGAAGTGAACGAGTGGTGGTGGAAGAACGATAGCCGCTGTGTGGAAGAGGAGTCGTGAATCACGATGGTGAAGAGGAGTCGCGAATGACGGTGGTGGAAGAGGATCGCAAATGACAATGGTGGAAGAGGAGTCGAAATGATGGTTGATAAGAGCTTGAAAGTATATATTTTTTTAGATTTAATTGGATTATTTGTGGAAAAATGTGTTCAATTGTGGAATTGAATAATTATTTCAAATACCTTTTACGGATCACGGGTGTATTTTGAGTATTTTAAGTTCAAACCGATATTTGAAGGAAAAAGAATGATATCGATGGAATTCGTGACAAGTAGGAACAAACAGTGCAAGAATCGAAGTTGAAACGAGGAAAGTTGTGACGTGTCAAGATACAACAGCTAAAATCTGGAAATCCTTCAAGATGAGCATGCTTGATGTTTCGTTCATAACTTGAGCTGTAGAAATCAGAATTTAATGATTCTTATGGCGTTAGAAAGATTATCAGAGAGCTACAAAGTTTTATTGATGACTTTATCAAATTCTAAAGATCACTAACTTGTAGGAACAGAAAGAACGATGCCATAGCGACCATTTCTGATCGCCGCAGCGATGGGTCACTGCTTGTTTGGGTTATTGCATTCTCCTAGTCTCATCTAAATGGGTTAAGACATTTAATTCTTCCTAAGTAACCTCAAAACCCTAGCACTATAAATAAGGTCTTTATTAGTTTTTTAGAGATTAAGAGAGGAGAAAGGACGACTATTATTTTGGAGATCGAATTCTTGCAGTTCTCTTTCACCAATAAGAGAAGTTTTTCTAGTTTTCTTTCTTGAGCTCAGTTATTGATACAATGGTTGTTTTTATTACTGCAACTATGAACTAAATCTCTTTTCTAGGGCTAAAGATGTAGCCCAATTTATAATATGTGTTGACGTTATCTTTATTGATTCCTTATTGAGCATTAATTCTTAAGTTTTATTATGTGTGTAATGCTTTCAATTCTTAGGATCTAAGGGTTGAATGATATCATGGGATGTGGTTGAGATCGAGAGATGAAACCTGATTTGTCTAAGTTAATTAAAACCATAGATTGAGTAAACGCTAGTAGAGATATGTTACCGCAATCTATAAGGCTCTGGTAATTCCATGAACTATGATCTCTTAGCTTCTAAATCCAACTTAGATATATTTGGTTGTTGTTGTTTTAGGGTTAATTCGCTAATTGTTCGAGAGAAAGTTAGTGAAATATTAAGGAGTTTGGCTTTAGAAAAGCTTAATTAAGTTAGCAATAATCGTCAATACATAGGATTAATTGGTGTGAAATCTATGTCCTAGGTGGGTTTAGCCATATTGATCTTTATATCCAAGTATTATAAATTCTGATTTGTGTTAGTTTTTCATTAATTCATTCATAAATTCTGTTTCATCAAAAGCAATAAATAGACTAGTTTGGTACTTGGTAGTAGTTCTTTTGGGATTTGACACGTTTACTCGAGCTTTATTATTTGCACGATTTCGTCTATTGCGAATAGCCTGTCAAGGCTGATTCAAGTTCAATTCTATTGGTTTCAAGTGGATTTTGAGAGAAGATTTTTTGTTAGGAAGAGGAGTTGCACATGACGGGGTGGAAGACTGATTGTAGGCAATTTTGAGAGAGATTTCTAATTTAGGGAAGAAGAGAGTTTGACGTTTGATTTTGTTTGGAGAGAGATCAGATTTAGGGGAATTTAAATTTTGGTTTTTTTTTTTAATAATTTGGGGGAAATGTATGTGCGATGATGTGATGTACAGACATGTCACATCATCTACACGTCATGATGTGAGAAGTGTTGTACACCTAGTATTACTGTACCTTTATATTTTGTCGACACTTCTTTTGTTTATTCTTACTAGAGTGGAAAAGCACTCGCCCGATCTGGCCGCGACAGGTTGTTGTTAATGGCGGGTAGGTCTTGACCTGCCTGTAACATTGGCGGGCCGGGTTAGGCTCGTCCATATTAGGGAATTGGCTGGCCCCAACTTGGACCGCCAAACCTAACCGTTCGGTTTGGGGCGGGTTAGGCTGCGGGTTGGGCCAGGTTAACCCCTTTTTGATTTTTTTTTTTTTTAATTTTGTTTTTTAATTTTTTTTAAGTTTAAATGTTTAATTAACTTTCTAAATGACATAATAACAATTTATAAATGTAACTGTTTTTAGTAATTGTTAATTTCTTTTCAAATATCAATAATTAAATCAAATTAATTTTTTTTTTTTTGTAACATTCCAATATTAATTCAATTTTAATACATTAAAATTGTAATATAGGAATAATTAAATTTTTCATTTATGAAAAATAAAATAAGAAATTACAATAATTATTGCCTCGTTAAAAACCTCACAAGAAAAACCCCAATGAGACAAAAACTTGATAAAGAAAAAAGAGGCAATAATTGACAATTAATTTACAAGTTACAATTTACAAAACACACTATTTTGTTTTCTTGGGTTCACTAGGACCTCCCCTCATACGTATCATCGATATTCACAATGAAATGATCTATTAAAGTATCATCGACAACCTGTATTGACCTGTGGACGCGACCAGTTCCAATCTCGAAGACACATGTGAGCAGAGACTTCAATCATTTGTGGTGAAACTTTAGTCCTCTTTCTCTCTTTCATTTAAAATTCTTCCACTTGCACTAAATGTTGTTCGGATGAGACGGTTGAGATAGGAACAGAGAAAACATCCAAGGCAAGTCTTGATAATACCGACGAAAATACATTTTACTGGCTCTCCTAATAGTCTAAGAGATCAATGTTGGCTCTCTGTTGTGGATCTACTGGTAACATTTCAGGGGTTGCCAAATATTGTTGAAGCTATTACTCTGCGACTGCATGGAAGACAGTACATAGTTGTGTTGTTGTTGTTGGAGCTTTTGAAGAGGAGGTTGTGCTTCGGATTCAGCGTCCTCTTCGCCTATTCATTGCACCCCAAGAGTAGAGATCTTCGTTTGTTTCTTCTGATAGCAGCCTTCCCTGGATGTTTCCTGCTCTTGCGGGTTCATACCTGTTTTCATACTGAAATATACTTCGAAAAGTGTATTTTTTACCTCTCCTATTTGATTGGTATATGCTTCGTTTGTAAATTTTCATAAAATTGTCAAAACCATTTTCTAACACTGCTAATTTAATTCTAGGATCAAATATAGCACCTAAACAATAAGAGAAAAGGAATGGGTTCCCATATTTAAAAAAAAAAAAATATTTCATTGCCTTTATTGGTGCATTTAAAATTACATTGTCTTTGTTTTATATAAATAACTCGAAGTTGTTATAATTGTATGTATTACCAATAAACTAGATATAGATAATACACACTAAAAAGTTGTAAAGTGGATTGGTAAAAAGTTTAAGAAACGAATATAAATACTTAGCTATTTGCCAATCATTTTCTACCAAATAATGAGGACTCTATTATTTGCTACAAAATAACTGTTATATTAGTATAAGGTAAACATGAATTAAGCATTTAAATAGTACTATTCCATTTAACAGGCATGTCTAATGCAAATTCTAGGAGACATATGTTGATTTTATACAAACGTCTTGAAATTAGCATTTCTTTTATTCTACTAGTAATCCACAGTAACTAAACAATCCTTAATTCTATTAATAATTTTCTTTAATTGTTGCATACCACTTTTCACAATTAAATTAATAACATGGCATGCACTACGTTGCAGTGAAAAAACTTCAAATCTGTTATATAAAAGATAATTACTTTTAAAAATAATCTATAGCTTTACTATTAGAACTTGCATTCTCTAAAGTTAAACTCATCACTTTACTAACAACATCATAATCTTCTAAAACTCAACAATTTAATTATAAATTTGTTCACCACTATGATCAACATCCATTAATCTAAACCCTACAATAAAGATTATTTAATTACATTCATTATCAAAATATGACTAGTCCACAAATATAACTTGTTTAGCTCTACCACTCTAAATAGTGGCAGTTAGAGCCACACTAACATGACAAATATGTATTTATTTTAATTTTAGAATTTCATTTTTCAAACAATTTTATTAATACATTTCTAGTTGCAGTTTTAGAATAACTCTTTAAATCCTGGAAAAATGAATTTTGAACAAATCTTTCAAAATAATTTATCTTTAGCCAATTAATAGGTTGATCAGTTGCAGCAAATATAAACTAACTGTTCCTATATATAATCAGAATTATACGCCAATTAGTACCCATACC